TCAGAGGGTCATACAGTTAAATTTTCACAGCAATCGGACGAGTATACGATTTTAGGCGATTTTTCGAATACCCAGCAGCACCACTCGTTTCAAAAAAACGCATAACCAACAAATTAATCAACAATTTCGTCTAAGGCCTTCATCATAAGGCCAAAGACTTCAAATGTTCCAGTAAATCCACAGCCTTTTCACGATTTAAAGCATTAATCATATAAATCGCACGTAACGAATATCATACGCACTTTAACCGATCAAAAATAAATCTTAACATGAAAGACCAATTATTTCCAGCACTTAAATATCACATACATACAAAAATAAGGGGGTTTTATAGCCGGGTACCGTTCTCGGGAAATTCGAACAAAAACAAAGATCGAACGGGCCAAGGAGCAACGACGGGCGATCGACGGGGCTCGGCAGCTTGCGCGTGGCTCGCCCGAGTGGTCGTCGCGGGTCTGCTGAGTGCTGGACGTCCTCGGATCGCTCGAACAGCAGCCAGGGATGATCCTCTACTCGCGAACGGGGTGGAGGACGATCGATGGTGACGCGCGAGGGGACGGCGGATGGCGATCGCGGGCAGCGGACGACACGCGATGGACGATCGGACGGCCGGCGATGGGTGGAGAGAAAAACCGAGAGGGAGAGACAACGAGAGAGATGGAGAGAGTTTGCGTGGGTGAAGGGAAAGAGAGAAAAGGAAGCTGCGTATAAATGAGCTAAGAAATTCTCTTCCCATACATATAAGATTAGGTTAAACTCAATGACTTAGCCAACAAGTAAGCCAAGTAGGAGAGAGAGGGGGAGGGCCGCGGGTTCGGGGCGTGCGAGTCGCGGCTTCGGGTCGGTTCACTTACGGCTCGATTTAAATAAAATCCGGGCTTAAGACCACGCAAAATAAAATAAGAAAAAATATATAATAAATAAATTAAAATATTAATAATAATAATTAATTAAAGCATTATAACACACATTTAATATTTATGATATACATATTAGGCACATTTAATCAATTAGACAATTATACACATTATTAATACTAACAATAATAATAATAGCAACAATAATAATAATAATAATAATATCAATAATAATAACAATAACATCCAATTATTAATAAATAAATGGGGCGTCACAGTATACCCACCTTACAAAGAATTTCGTCCTCGGAATTCGAAAATAAAACTAGAGAGCGATAAAAGATACAAAGGAGAACTCAGAACTCAAAGTTCGGATAACGCCTCCTAATACCGTCCTCCCTCTCTCAAGTCGCCTCGGTCTTATCGTGTCGGCTCCACAGCACCTTCACCAAGCTCACTGCCCGGTTCCTCAGCTGATGGACCTTCCGATCCAGAATAGCTACTGGCACCTCCTCATAGGTAAGGTCTCGCTCGACCTGCAGCTCGCAGAAGTCCATGACATGATCAGGATTATGCACATACTTCCGAAGCATCGAGACATGGAATACGCCGTGCACACCCGACAAGTCTGGTGGTAAAGCCAGCCGATACGCTAAGTTCCCGACTCGGTCGAGGATCTCGAACGGCCCAATATAGCGAGGTTTAAGCTTCCCTTTCTTCCCGAAGCGAATCACCTCTCGCATGGGCGAAACCTTCTGAAGAACATGATCTCCCATCGCATACTCATGCTCATGCCTCTCCCGGTCGGCATAGACCTTCTGCCTCTCCTGGGCGGACCTGATGGCCTTCCGGATCTCCTCAACGGTCGCAGCAGTACTCTGAACAAAATCTGGTCCTGTAATCCTCCTCTCTCCAACCTCATCCCAATACAAAGGAGTCCGGACTTTACGTCCGTACAAAGCTTCATACGGGCACATCTTGATCGAAAAGTGGTAGCTGTTGTTGTAGGTCAGCTCGACTAGCGGAAGGGCATACTCCCAAGTCAGGCTTCGGTCCAAGACCACAGTCCTCAAGATATCCTCCAAGTACTGGATCACACGCTCCGACTGACCATCCGTCTGGGGGTGAAAGGCTGTACTAAACTCCAACCTCGTCCCCATGGCTCGGTGCAACGTCCTCCAGAACTGGGATGTGAACTTGGCATCTCGATCCGAAACAATCTCCACGGGCACTCCATGAAGCTTGACAATGTCCTTGACGAACAATTCGGCGTAATCACTCGCCTTCATGGTCGTCCGGACAGGCAGAAAATGGCAGACTTCGTAAGGCGATCCACTATCACCCAAATCGAATCGTACCCGCTCCTTGATCTCGGCAGTCCAACCAAGAAATCCATGGTGATGCAATCTCACTTCCATTGGGGAACCTCCAGAGGCTGCAACAACCCCCTCGATTTCTGGCGTTCAGCCTTCACTTGCTGACACACCAGGCACCCGTCCACGAACTTCGCTACCTGCCTCTTCATGCCTCGCCACCAGAAGGATTTCCTCAGGTCCTGATACATCTTCGTGCTACCAGGATGGATGGTGTACGGGGCACTATGGGCCTCCTCCAAAATCTCTCTCCGCAGCTCCCACACCCTCGGAACACAAAGTCTACCCTCGAAGACCACGGCTCCATCGGATGCGACGGTGAATCAACCAACTCTACCAGCTGCTGACAACTCTCTCATCCGGCACAAGAAACGGTCATTCGGTTGCTCGGTGACTATCCTCTCTCGAAGAGTCGGTCCCACCACCAAAGAGGCCAACACGCCCCCGGCTGTCGAGGTCGACTCCACTGTCTCCAACTGTAATCGCTCGAACTCCCGAAGAAGAACATCCTGCTTGGTGAACAAGCAAGACAACTGGCCATGGCTCCTCCGACTAAGGGCATCGGCTACCACATTAGCTTTCCCAGGGTGGTAGCTAATGATGCAGTCATAGTCCTTGACCAGCTCCAACCACCTACGCTGCCTCATGTTCAGCTCCTTCTGAGTGAAAATGTACTTTAAGCTCTTGTGGTCGGTAAAGATCTCGCACTTGCCTCCATAGAGGTAGTGCCGCCAAATCTTCAAGGCGTGGACAACAGCAGCTAACTCGAGATCATGAGTGGGGTAGTTCTGCTCGTGAGGCTTCAGCTGCCTCGAAGCATAGGCTACGACTTTCCCCTGCTGCATGCGAACACAACCCAGGCCCATCTTCGAAGCATCACTATAGATGGTGAACTCCAAAGTAGGGTCGGGTATGGATAGGACAGGCGCGGTAGTGAGTCTCCTCTTCAACTCCTGGAAACTCTCCTCGCACTGAGCACTCCAATCGAACCTCACAGCCTTCTTCGTAAGGTTGGTCAGTGGCTGGGCTATCTTCGAGAAGCCCTCGATGAACCTCCTGTAGTATCCTGCTAACCCCAGGAAACTATGAACATCTGCGGCACTTCTTGGCGTATCCCATTTACTCACCGCCTCAATCTTGCTGGGATCCACCTCAATGCCTCGAGCTGTCACAATGTGGCCAAGGAATGCCACACGGTTCAGCCAGAACTCGCACTTTGAGAACTTAGCATACAACTTCTCGCGGCGAAGGGTCTCCAGCACAATCCTCAGATGCTCCTTGTGCTGATCGATATCTCGGGAATAGACCAGAATGCCGTCGATGAACACAATGACGAACTGGTCTAAGAAAGGATGAAAGACCCTATTCATAAGGTCCATGAAGACGGCTGGGGCATTACTGAGTCCGAAGGGCATGACTACGAACTCATAGTGGCCATAGCGAGTACGGAAAGCAGTCTTAGAAATGTCCGACTCTCGGATCTTCAGCTGATGATAGCCAGAACGCAAGTCAATCTTTGAGAAGACGCTGGCTCCTCTCAGCTGGTCGAAAAGGTCCTCGATACGGGGAAGGGGGTATTTGTTCTTGACTGTAAGGGCATTCAACTCCCGATAGTCAATGCACATGCGCATAGATCTGTCTTTCTTCTTCACGAATAGGACGGGCGCACCCCACGGCGAGACACTTGGACGAATAAAACCGAGCTTGAGCAACTCCTGAATCTGGGCCTTGAGCTCTTGAAGCTCCTTCGGCGCCATACGATAAGGGGCCTTAGAAACGGGGCCGGCTCCGGGAATTAGGTCAATAATGAACTCCACTGGAGGTCTGGCGGTCTTCCGGGTAAGTCATCAGGAAAGACGTCTAGGTACTCGCAAACAATAGATACTCGCTCGGGCACCCGCTCATCAACGACGTCGGATACCATAGAAACAAGATAGCCTTGACAGCTACCCTTGGAAAGGCTCTTACTAGCTTGCATAGAAGAGATGACCCGAGGCACAATCCTCGAACTCACCCCAAAGAACACAACGGGCTGATTAGAAATGGGATGGAGGGTGACTTCTCGCTCCTGGCACCGGATGTCGGCTCGGTAACGGGTGAGCCAGTCCATGCCCAAGATCACGTCGAAGTCTCGCATCTCAATAACATACACATCGGCCTCCAGAACTCGACCACCAATACAGATAGGAAGATTGCGAACCACTGAATCAGAAATAATAATTCTTCCCGAGGCCAAACTAACCTCGAGAGGATCACAAGCATGCACGATGCTAATAGGTAAGGCCTCCAAACAACGAGACGAGATAAAAGAATGGGTAGCACCGGTATCACACAAAGCAAAAACAGGCACATGGGATATCGAAAGCATTCCGGACATGGTACCTGCATTGCGAGCGGCCTCATCATGGGTGAGGGTATAGACACGGGCCTGACCTCCAGCCCTCTGCTGGAACGGTGGGGGCTGCTGCTGCTGCTGATGCTGCTGGTGCGGTGGTGGTGGTGGGGAAAGCTGCTGCTGCTGAGGATAGGGCGGTTGCTGCTGTTGCTGTCTCTTTGGCTCGCGGCAAACATTAGCATAGTGTCTCGGGCGGTTGCAGTTGTAACAGGTGCGCTAGCTAGCTAGGCACTCACCGCTGTGGGATTTACCGCATTTCTGGCAGGTTTGGCCGGTAGAAGGTTGGTTGTCACGCCTATCAAAGATTACTTTCTTTCCCTTGCTCTAGTTCTTGAATTCGGACTTCCTCTTACCCGAGCTAGAGCCGGGCGGCACGGTCGAGATGGGCTGAGCATACTGGATAGCCTGAGGAGGCTGAGAGGCCGGAGGATAAGATGGAATGGGAACAACCGGGATGAGACAGCTCTCCACTTCCTGAGCTCGGCTCACGGTATCAGCATAGGACATCGGTCCATGACTTCCCACCAACTCACCGATCCTCTGGTTGAGACCCTTGAGAAATTTCCGGGCCTTCTTAGCATCAGTGTTCACCGCATCACCCGCAAAAAGGCACATACGGGTGAAAGTGTGGATGTACTCATCCACCGAGGAGCTGCCTTGCTGCAAGTGATAGAATCCGTGCTCCATTCTGTCCCAAAAGCTCTGGGGGAGGAACTTGTTACGCACCATCGTCTTCATTTGCTCCCAAGAGAGAGCATGAAGCTCCGCCTCGGGCTTCCGGGCCCAAAGCTCAATCCACCAGTCTGAGGCGTCTTCCTTCATCTGATATGCCGCAAGAGACACGCGCTGACGGTCGGGGAGGGGGAGTACAACAAAGATTTTGTCCAGCTCCTTCATCCACTGAAGCACTGCTGTGGGGTTCTCAGTCCCCGTGAAAGTTGGCGCATTCATGCGCTGAAACTGAACGATAAGCTGAGTGAGGTCCATGGCCGGAGGGGCCTGGTGCTGATGGCGAGGAGGAGAAGGAGATGGGGATGGCTGACGGTTACGGTTGCGAGTATTCATGCTTCTACATTGAATAAGCACAAGAGCAAACATAACAATCAATATATACTGAAGTCTAGAGTTCGCCATAGACACTAGAGTTCGATAAATTCAAGGTGGATAGGTCCTAAGCCCCAAGTATAACAGTTATACTACAAGTAGTTGCCACATGCGATACATTTACATCTCAAGTATTTTCATTAATACTTAAATCATACAAACCTTGAGCAGCGTGGAGTGACGGAGACGATTGGTCATAACACTAGGTCTAAATACATAATCACATACATGTCAGTCTACAGAACCGCAGACTGGCTCTGATACCAAACTGTAACACCCCACTTTTATTTTACAGAAAATTTCAGACTTCCCAAAAATCAGTGTAAAATTTTCAAAATCATTTTCGAAAATTCGATGGGTGTTAACTAACATTTTTCATATCCCAAGTCTTATCTGGGCCTACGGGGATTCATTACCCAGTTTTTCACAATTGGTTTTCATTAACCAACATCAACTCATGAATTTAATAACCAAACATCAATCCCAAATCAACAAAGGTTCATAAGTTTTAAAACCAACACACAAGGTTCGAAAATAGTTTGCACAAAACATAACGTGCAACAAACTTATTCAAGTTCATCGGAAGCAATTAAAATGCATAAGTAATTAGACCGACCCAACTCATCCCTTCCTCGTCACCCGGCTGTTGCTTAACCTGCATCGGTGAAGAGCAGGTGGGGATGAGCACAAGATGAAAAACGTGCTCACCACTATGCACATATATAATAATAACAGTTGGTATGGTTAGAGTATGAACATAAAGCAATCATTTGTCACGTCTCCAAATCACATCACATCATAACATATTACCCACGTGTACGCATCTTTCATTAGCCAAGGATAGGGGATTCATTACCCTAACTCATGGGGGTACGTGCCACTGTAACGGACACGGCCTTTCATTAGGTCTTACGGAGACTTGCCTCGCACGGGCAACCGTACCGTAACTCGACGGGGACAACCGTACCGACGGCCGACATAGGCTCACGCCGATAGGCTACATGATTTACATACATACTAAAATCATACCATCTCAACAAGAAAACACATATATGGCATAGCAAGTTTTGAATAAGTAAACCCACCTGGTAGCAAAGACAAGAGGCAACACAATTATGGAGTAGGCAGCGAGCACGGCTCGTCAAACACCTACAAGAATTTAGAGTACTAAGATCAATACTTACTTGACCTCAGTGAGTAAACGCAATCATACTTGGTCAAACAAAATTCGACCAAGTAGTTCGTGACGTTCTGTGGACATTGGAACATTCGGACCTAACACTTAGACTTGACCGGAAAGCATTAAGTACCACATAATGGACTTAGCACGTATAACGAGGTCAAATAAGTTAAATGCACACATAAGGGTTTGGAAGAATTAAGGGGAGACTCGAAACGGGCCTCGGGCTGCTCGTTGGCCCGTGCGGGGCACGAACGGGCGCTGCCGGGGCGCTTGCGTACGCT